ATGGCGCACAGGGCGAGCAGGACGGCGACGACGACGATGGGCACGACAATCTTGGTGCTGCTGGAGCCGCCGCCACTCTCGCTCTCGCTGTTGGCGGCGACGCCGGTGCCGGCAGCCCGCAGCGTGGCCGTGGCGCCACGAGAGGTTGGGGCAGCTCCGTCGGACAGCGTGGCCGTGGTACCGGCGTCGGGCGCCACCGTGTTGGTCGACGAGAGCGCGGCCGAGACGGCAGCGGCCGCCGAGGCCGAGTAGGCCGCGGCATTGGCCTGCTGCTCCGCGGCGTTGTTCGTGCCGCTGCCGCCGTTCGTGCTAGCAGCGTTGGCACCGTTGTTGTTGCTGCCACCGCCGCCGCCATTGCTGTTGCTGGCGGCACCATTGCCACCGCTCTGGTTGGCGTTGTTGCCGCCGTTGGTCGCCGAGCTGCCGCCGCCGTTGTTGCTGTTGCCGCCGCCGTTGTTGCCGCCGCTGTTGTTGTTGTTGTTGTTGCCGGCGGTGGCCGTGTCGCCCTTTGGCTGCGAGGAGCTGCCGCCGCCGCTCGGGCTGGGCGTCGTGCTTGGGCCGGCCGTGCTACCCTGGTGATCCCCGCCCTTGCTGCCGCCCTGCGACGCTGGCGCCGACGGTTGTGCGCTCGACGAGGGGGCGGGAGCGGCGTGGGACGAAGACGGCTCTGGCGCTGGCGCCTGGGACGATTGCGGCGGCGGCGCGCTGCTCGAGCCTGGCTGGTTGTTGTTGTTGCCTGCGTGAAGGGGGAAGAAGGATGAGCGAGTTCCAAAGCAAGGTCAGCATCCTGTCGCGGGAAAGAGCATCGAGGGGCGCGACAGAACGTCGAGGAACGGCGAGAGAGGAAGGCAAACAGGGTCCAAGAAGAGAGCCGCCGCTCGAGACGCAGGGCTCGAAGAGCCGAGCACAGCGATGAGAAGCAGACGGAACGCCAGAAGCTCGAAAAGCAGGAACCGAGACGAGAGACGTAGGGAGAGGGGGAGGGCGAGGGGCGAGGATGAGGGAAGAAGGGTGAGGAGGGGGAGGCACGAGGGTAGACAATCACCAGGAAGACCGAAGATCGAACCGACGAGGCGGCGCTGCATGTCGGTCTCCTCATCGGCGCTCCTCTTCATGTGAAGGCCAGCTTCCATGACTATGGAGGGGCCGGATGAGCGGGGTCAGATGGAGAGGAAAAAGCGAGAGCGAGTGCGAGAGCGGGATGGGGACGTGGAGAGGTCAGGAGGGAGGGGAGGGGGAGGAGAGAAAAGAGAAGTGACGGCGCCGCGATGGTTGCATCGAAGAGCACCGTCAGAGGGGGGGGGGGGTGGGTCAGGAGGGTCGGAGAAGGGGTCGGGAAAGTGTCCAAGGCCCGTGGCGGAGAGGATTTGAGAGGGTTCCGGGGGCGGCGAAGGTGAGAGAGAAGAGGAGAGCGAGGGGGAAAGGAGAGGGCCGAGGGGATGGGAGAAGGGGGACGGAGAGGTCGTGTTGGAGAGGGAGGAAAAGGGTGAGGGTGAAGGGGCGAGGAGAGACGGGAGGTCGAATGTGTCGCGGGATTGCGGAGGGAAAGAAGAGGGGAGGAATGTGAGGGAATGCAGGGGTGGGTCAAGGAGCGCGGAGAGGAGACGAGGGGGGGAGGTGAGGGGGAGGGGTGAGGGTGAGGGATGGGGATGGGGATGGAGATGAGAGAGGAGAGGGGGGAAGAAGGACGAGAAAACGAGCAGGTCAGGGGCCATGCTCCGTCTATCTCACCGGCGTCGCTGTGGCTCTGGATCTGGCTCGGACTGGGGCTGTGGTCTGCTCCCGAGGTCGAGTCGGAAGCGGGATCGCGATCGTCTGTAGAGCTGGAGCCCGGGTCGGGAGCGCGATGCAGGTCGTCGAGCAGGCCGGAGCCGGATATGAGGTTCAACGGGTCGGACGAGCGATCTCGATGGCCTGCCGCAGTGGAGCTGGAGCTCGACGGGGCGGCGACCGGGCCGGGGCTAGCAGCTGGGCCGGAGCTCGACGAGGCAGGGGCGCGGTCGCGGTCATCGAGCAGGCCGAGGCTGGGAATCAAGCCGGAAGCAGGGCCTGAATCGTCGCGCGCGACGATCCTGGACGGGCGGCTCGAGCCAAGACGGTGGCAGGGCGCGTAGCCATGCCCTCGGTCGTCGTCTGCTGCTGTGTCGGGACTGGAGTAGAGAGCAGCGGGGGACGAGTCGTGAAACGTACCCTGACCGGTGAGACCGCCTGCGAGGCCGCCTACGATGTGTCCGACGTCGTTTCCGAGGCCGGAGAGGGTGCCGAGGAGGCGTTTGTCGTGCTGGCTCTTGAGCGAGTGGTGGTGCCTGCGCATGCGCATGGCGGGCGAACGCTGTACGAGGTTGGGGTTGGCGAGTGTCGAGTCGAGGTGGGGTGATGCTGCCGAGTCTGCTGCTGCCGAGGATGCGAGGAGCGAGATGGCGATGAGCGCCGACACCTTTCTGAGGGGTGCCATGGTGGTGGCAGTGGCGAGGGGAGCGGCAGCAAGAGACTGCGTGTGATCTGAGATGGTCGAGGAGAGGCGCGAAATGAAGATGGGCTGCGGGCGTGCGGGGACCAGGTCAGAGGCGCAAATGAAGCCTGCAGCTGGAGCGCGAGTTGTCGAGGATGATGCAGCGGATCGATACGGCTGCGGGGTCGAATGACGCAGGCCAGGGATCGTCGAATGAAAGGCGGGGGTCCGAGCGGGTGAGAAAAAGGAGCGAAGAAAGGACGGAGGGCTGGGCCGAATGAGGTCGAATCGAAGAGGATAGAGTCAAAAGAGTGTGGGATTGCGTCGGTGGCGGTCGAGACACGAGGAGGGAGGGAGTAGTACGGCGATGGGATGGACGATGGTGGTGGTGACGGGGAGAGGGAGGGGAGAGATGACGACGACGACGAGGAGGACGAGGGGGAGGAGGAGGAGGAGGCGGCCAGAGTGATGGCGTCGAAGAGGGCACACCGGCAGCCAGGCAAAGGCCGGCCAGCAGCAGAGTCTCGAGTCTCGGACGGCCCTCAACACCAGCGGCGGTTCAACAGGCAGGGCAGACGGGGCGCGCCGCGCACCTCGCAGCCTGGCCGAGCTGGCCTTTGCTGGCTTGCGCTGCCTCTCTCTCTGCAGCCTGCCTGGCTTCCCGCCCTGGCCTGCCTGCCCGCCATTGACGCGCGCGGGATGGCTTCGGCAAGCGTAGCCGATGCCTCCGCCTGCCTGCCTGCCTGCCTGCCTGCCTGCCTGCCTGCCTGCCTGCCTGCCTGCCTGCCTGCCTGCCTGCCTGTCTGTCTTGGGCGCTGCTCGCTGTTGGCTCTGATCTCTCGCTCGCTCGCTCGCCTTGCCTGCTGGGCCGAAGCAAGGATCTGCAAAGGTGCTTGCTGCGCCCAGCCTAACGGCCTACCGGCCTGGCCTGCCTGCAGCGATCGACACGCCTCGCAGCCCCCGCCTCCGCACCCGCACCCGCACCCACACCCGCACCCGCACCCTGCCTGCCTCGCTCGCTCCCTTTCTCTCGAGCCTCCTCGGCAACCGCAGGCAGGCCAGACTACTGGGGCGCCCCCTGACCTCTTCGCCATCGCCCATCTCGCGCCCTCTCGGCGGGCCCCCTTCGGGTCGTTGTGCGTGATATGCCTTGACCCGTTGCTTGTTTGGCAGCTGGCGGCCGTCTTGACACCCATCGACCGACCTGGCAGTCAGCAGGCCGGGCCAGTCTAGATTAGCCCGCCGGCGTCTCGTGGCGACGACCTGCCTGCCGCGCTCCCAGGAGGCGGCCCGCTCAGCTGTCGTCGATGCAGAGCAGAAGAAAGGGGCGAGTCGACGGGCGAGCATCGAAGGCCGCCCTCGACTTCTGCCGAGCCCACCCGTTGAAAATCGAACTGCCAAGCAAGGCAAGCCAAAGCAGGTCAGAGCGCACACACGCACGGCGTCGAGCCTCCAACGCAAGACGCAAAGAGCTAGGTAGTTCTGGCAGGACAGAGGCGGCGCCAGGCAGGCAGGCGGGCGGGCGGGCCGAGGGGCAAAGCGACGCTCGCCGTGTTTTGTTCTCAACAGAAGGAAGAAGGGTTTGCGCGGCTGGGAGCCTGGCTGGCTGGCCTGCGATGCGCTCGCCTCGGCTCGAGCCGAGCAGCGAGCACAGCTGCCCCATGCAACGGCCATCGCACCCGCACCCGCACCCGCCGCACACCACCACGGACCCTGCCTGGCCTCTGTGCTTGGCGCGCGGTTCGGATGCGCCGCTATAGCCCAGCCTAGCAGACCAGCCTGCCTGCCTCTCCTCACCTAGCTCGTCGTCGTGGTCGTCGATCGATCTCTCGTCTCGGGTCAGTTGCGCCCCCCCCGTTCTTCCCTTCCGAGCGGGTCAGATTACGGCTCGAGAGACGGCGGGCCATGCATGTTTGAAGCGCAAGCAAAAGTGTATCGGATCGGGGCGGCGGGGCGAGGGCGGGGCGCAACAAGCACGTTGCGTCTGCCCGCTGTGCCGACCTCGAAGAGCCCAGGCCTGGCCTCACGTGGGGGCGTCCACTCCTCGATAGGGCGGGGGCACCCTACCTCCCCCTTCGCCTGCCCGCCATCGCTAGGCCATTCTCCCGGTACCGACCGATCAGGTTGTCGTCGCCGAGCGTGGTGCGCCATGTCGTGCCTCGTTTGTCGGAACCTCACGCGCGCCCCAAAAGAAAGGGACCCGACCACGATCATGGTGACGGAGCAGCAATCTCGATTTCAGATGCACCCAGAGGACGCGGGGTCCCGTGCGATACGGCGTCGAAGAAGGCGGAATACGGACATCGAAAGCCAAGGGCAGCGGTAAGGGTCCGCCGCCGCCGCCGCCGCCGCGACGACGTCATTCTTGTTCTCTTTCGTCTTTGGATGGCGAGCAGCTCGTCGCGATCAGCAGCAGCAGCAGCACCACCATCCCTACCACCGCTTCACGCTGGTCGTCGACCAGCCCCCCCCCCNCNCNCNCNCNCCNCNCGC